AAGAATTGGACTTCTCGGATCCAAAAATCACACTTGGAGAACTTAGTGTAAAGGTTCTCCTTCCTTAACACTTCCAACACCTCCCGTAGATGCTTGCCATGCTCCTCTTGGCTTTTCGACTAGATCAGAATGTCGTCGATGAACACTATCACGGATTTATCGAGGAATGGTTTACAAACGACATAACCAAGAACTCTTAGTGTCCGTATCGAGTTCTGAATGCAATCTTCTCAATATCCTGTTCTCTCACCTTCAACTGATGATATCCCGACCTAAGATTGATCTTTGAGAAGTAGCTCGAACCTTGCAGCTGATCGAATAGGTCTTCAATCCTCGGCACTGGATACTTGTTCTTCACTATTGCGTTGTTTAGCTCTTGGTAGTCTATACACATTCTCATACTTTCGTCCTTTTTCTTCACGAATAACACCGGAGCTCCCTAGGGTGATGAGCAAGGTTGAATGAAACCGTTGTCCAACAGCTCCTGAAGGTGCATCATAAGCTCCTTCATCACTGCCGGTGCTAATCGGTAAGGTGCCTTTGCTATCGGTGTTGTACTTGGTAACAAGTCTATCCGAAACTCCACTTGCCTATCAGGTAGTAATCCAGGAAGATCTTCGAGAAAGACTTCCGGATAATCGCACACAACCGGTATATTTTGCACCTCTTTCCTTTCCTTCTTAGCATCGATTACGAATGCGAAGTATGATGCACATCCTTTGGGCAAACATTTTTTGGCTTTCATTAGGGAGATGATTCCAGAATTCACTCGGCGTTTCTCCCTGTACACCATAAATGATTCCTTTCAGGGTGGGTTTACCCTGAATATCTTCTTTCAGCATAATATATCGGCATCGTTGGCGCTAAGCCAATCCATACCCAAAACGATGTCAAAACCGTTTAACTCTATGGGTAATAGTTCTTCGTGGAATTCGTTTCCGTTTAGGTCGATGACGATGTTCCTAATACGATTACTAACAGGTATGAATTTGCCACTGGCAACTTCTACAATCAAGGCATTATCAAGTTTTTCTACAGGCAATGCTAATTTCCCACCAAATTTATGCGATACAAAGGAGTAGTTGGCTTCGGAATCAAATAGTAAATTTGCATGAAAACCATTTACAAGAAAAGTACCTGAAGCGACATCTGCTGCCTCCTTTGCAGCCTCGAGCATCATTTGGAAGGCTCTGACCTTCGGCTTTGGTGGTATGTTGGGTCTTCCTGCCTCCTTCTTTTTTGGGCAATCCTTTGAAATGTGCCCCTCCTCGTTGCACTCATAACAAACCTTCTTAGTAAACCTGCATTTGTTGGCATAGTGCCCAGGCTTTCCACATTTGAAACAAGTGACCCCTCCGTCACACTTCCCAGAGTGCTTCTTCTTGCACTTGTCGCACCACTTTGCTTCTGGTCCTCCCCCTCTCGAACCAGATTTGGAGAATTTACTCTTCTTAACGGACCTTGAGGATCCGTCAAATTTCCTTTTTTGCGTCTCCACAATCTTAGCAGCCCATATGGTGGCTTTCAGAGTGGTAGTTTGCTTGACCATTGGACCGAAGTTCGCCGGTAATCCGAGGGCAAATTTTTTAACCTTGGAGAGTTCAGTTGGAACGAGGTGAGGAACAAGCTTCATTTTCTCAGTAAAGCTTGCTGCGTATTCACTAATGCTCATTCTTCCCTTCTTCAAATTCTGGAATTCGTTGTTGATCTCCAGAAGATCCTGTTCAGAGCAGTATTGCATCTTCAACTGTACCAGAAAATTCTCCCACGACATCTTGCTTGCTTCACCTTTGGGCATTGAATTAGCTAGTAGCTTCCACCAGCTTAGTACTCCAGATTTCAACAGAGGAAGCGCGAGAGTGGTCTTCTTCCTGTTGCTACACTCGCAACTCTCAAACATCATCTCCATCTCAGAGATCCAATTCATGACTTCCATCGGCATCTGGCTTCTGGATAGACTTGGTGGTTTGGATGCCATGAAATCCTTGTATTTGCATCCATGTCCATCATTTCCTCCATCCTGGTGGTTTTGCCTAACTATCGGTGGGTTGGCTTGACCAACAGTCCCACTTTAGTTTCCTTCCTCAGTCTGCCCTTTGTTCAACTCGGGTTGTTCGATCTAAATAGTCGCTTCATCTCGATTTTTCTAGAGCAAACGCATGGTTTCCTCCATTTGACAATCCAAAATTGCCTGGATCATCGCTTACACTCCATCCGTCGTTATTGGCCTGGCAACGGCTTCCACAACTGGTATTTGCTCAATCACTGAGGGTTGGTTTCTGTTCCCATTTGCGTTCACGTTTCCGCTATGGGTCCTTTCCATCTCGATCTATACACTGAATAAGGTGAATTTAGATCTTTATATACGACTGATGATCAAATCATCGTTATCTCACCGAAATGTTTACATGCTAGTTCTAATATCATAGTCGTACGTTTAGAATCCTAAACACATAAGGTTTCCAGATCTGGTCGGCAACAGACCATAGATCCGAATAAATAACAGCATATAAGACACAAAGCATTTAGCACATAAAAGCATTTTAGGCATAATTCCTAAAATAAGCTAGTGCTCACACCTCATAATCATTGCTTAGCATTCTAACTTTAAGTTTAGAAATCCTACAAATTCCTAGTTCGCTTAAACTAATGCTCTGATACCAACTGTGACATCCCCAAAATCACGTCCAGAAAAGACCGGTTTTGTTTATACTTTATTACAAAATCACAGTAAGCTTTTAATAAAAAAGTTGCAGAATTTTTCCCAAAAAAATAATATGATAAAGAGTTATCAAAAGCATTTCCTTAGAAATGTATTTCATTAAAAGACTTGGGATGTCATGTTCGATACAGTACATAAGTATAAACAATACAATATAAGCCTTACTACATTATTTCACATCTACAGGCCTATATCCGTAATCCCTCATCCCAACACATCACAACTATGCTCGAGTGCCACTACCTGTAATACATAAAATTGAGTGGGTCAGGCTTGGGAGCCTGGTGAGCACGTAGGGTTTTCAACCCACAATATATAAGTTTATTAATTTCATCGACCAACAATAATCCAATTACATGTTCCCGTTATCCTCACATTACGTCTCTAAACACCTATCATAAGGGACCTATCCTAAGGATCATCATCGGGATTGACACTACTGCTAAGGGGGTTCCTCAGCAATAAGTGTGCTAAAGGAAACCATGAGGGCGATGGAGTACAACGGTGAACACATCGTTCACAAACACCTACAGGTTGCGAGCCTGCCAGCGTTCAACTGGACTGTCTAGAACAGTCCGTGGTCGTCATCTATACTCCGTTAGATGACTGGATCAACAACAACAACATCGAGGCCTCTCATCATTTTATCACACATCACCTATTACATCTACCCATGTTTTACCCCAACATTTTCGTAGATATAAAATACATATACATTTAAAATCATTGAAAACATGTATAAAAACGTTCATCCAACATAGATAGCAAGTATTCAGATAATATGCACACATAGCACGTAATTTATATAAAATACTTCATATCTATGTGTAAGATGAAAGTAACTATGCACTCACCTGAAAAGGTGGTGAATCCGAACTCAAACAGCGCTTCGCTTCTTAAAAACAATTTCCTTCGACGAAACCTAGTATTATTACCACTAGAGTTTAGTCTATTATTCGCCGAGACTAATTAATAGTCTAGCTATTATTACTATTATATAAGCATTAAAAAAATACTTATATAACCAATAATAATAGCCCAAATATTTATTATAAGCTCCTAATAACGTTACTATAATTAAATAAAAGTTATATTAAAAATAGCGTAGGCGTAGCTCACTTACAACGGGTTTTATAGAAAACTAGATTTTGCTTGGAGCATCGTTTCCGTGCCAAAAAGCTCTTCTTCTTGGAGCCATCGAGCACTCCGGGGCTTCCGCCTCGTGCTAGGGAGGTTCCCTAGGCTTTTTGGGGGGTTTCGGGGCTAGAGAGAGGTTAGAGAGAGAGAGAGAGAGAGAGAGAGAGAGAGCGAGAGTAAAGAGAAGAAAGAATGGGAAAGATGTGAAGAAAATGAGGGTGGGAGAGGTGGTATTTATAGGGTGAAATGTGGCTGAACTTGGTGCCACATGTCACCATCTGGTGGCAAGCCTTGGGGAGAAAGCAATGGCCAAGATTGTGCCACATCACCCATTTTCGCACAACACACTTCCGACTTCTAAAATCCGTAACTTTCACATACGACCTCCATTTTTGACGTTCTTTATATCCATGCATATGTGATAATAACATCTACAACTTTCATTTGACTTCGTCGGCTAATTCTCGACCGATCTTAAATTTAACAGTACAAGAAGACTATAATGTTAAACGTCCGCGTAAAATTCATAACTTCTACATACGGACTCTGTTTTCGTCTATCTTTTTACCGTTGATTTCCTATTAATGAGATCTTCATCTCTCATTTAGGTCGTGTAAGCCAAAAACCGCTCGCACTAGAATTCGAGTTTCGGGCCGTACACTACTAAGTCGAATCTTAGAAAAATCATAACTTCCTCATACGAAGTCAGATTTGAGCGTTATTTTTATGGATGTTCTCGGTTTAACATATAATACAACTTTGGTTTAGATCACTAAGGCTAAAAAGTCCTTCATCGTAAATTCACTATTTACGTCTCCCGGTGCCTACCGGTTTTGTCGTAAAACTTCGGCGAGCCATAACTTCTTCGTTATAACTCGGATTTTGGCGTTCTCTGTATCCCCGAAATCATTGTTTTGACCACTACAACGTTATATAAAGATATCGGGCTTATCTCATACTTTAATTTTGATGCTTATTTTTATTCTTTATTAATGTTACATTTATAATTAAATAATAAGCACATAAATACACATAATTCATATAATACTCAAATATTTCATCTTTATTACTTCAAAAAGAGATACAATAGTTGACATAGACTATTACATTATCAAAAATGCTTAGCCCTGAAACCCGGGCGTTACATAAAGGTATGGAGAGAGTGGAGGTGGTGGATTGGATGGCGGTGGATTGGATGACGGTGGCGATGAACGTTAGCAAAATCGATCGGTGGGGTGGGGTGGTGTGGTTTTAGGGCTTCTAGACGAGCTTGATGGGAGAAGAAAAGGTTGGATAAGAACAAAGAAACTGAACGACGGATATTTCTTACCGTAGTGGACGACCGAACCCGATGAACAGTAACCTAGTTAAAGTGACACACAAACAAAAATAGAGGGACCGAAAATGTAATTTAAGGGATCAAAATTGGCCAAAATGTCTCAGGTTTACTGTTAATACTTTTCACAACTGTAATATATATATATATATATATATATATATATATATATATATATATATATATATATATATATATATATAATAAGAATAACTAGAAAGGTTACCCCACTACGCAGGTGCCAGAAGCTTTCAATGTTATTTCCGAATCGATAAATATGATAGCCAGAAGCTTTGACTGCAAGAACCAGAAGTATAAAAATGGTTAAAGAATTACATGCACTACATGGTTTATTGAAGCAGTTGCTTATTCTTTCATACCAACATAAGAATATAATTTTGTTAAATCATATTCAAAACCAAAGGTAGGAAATGAAGTGTACTCATAACAGATTCCTAAATTTCCTTTTTTTTCTGCATTTTTATGGCCAACCCTATATGCTGCTTTGTTGTCAGAAGCAGTAGCTTGTTCTTTCATACCAACATTAGACTCATTGATTCCAGAGTCGCGCTCATTCGTCTGTATTGGTGACAACCCCACCACGTTTCCTGCATGTTCCTCAAAAAAGTTATAAAAGAAACCATTAATTAATAATGTCTATAAATTTAGTTTTACATATTTTTGTATCATCCTCACCTTTGAACAAACAAATCTCAATTCTGCATTCCATTTATTTCAGCATTTGGATGTGCTTGTAGAAGCATTAATTTCAATTCCATTCTCCTAAAAGAAGTGCAAATAAAAAAACTAAAACTTCTGAGATATACATTGGTCGCATATTAAAAAATTAAGTTAAAAGATTTTGTTGGCCGAAAAAGTACATTGCAATTCCAACACGGTGGGCTAGTAGCCCAATCTCCACCAAGCAGGTAAGAAACAAAAATAAATAAAAATAAACCTGGATTACCTTCAGTTTTATAATTTACATATGCATTTCCTTAAACAGGACTATATTGTATCTCTTTTGCCTCTCATATCAACAAAGCCCAAACTTTCAGTAGTTTTTTTATACACCTCTGACTTACTGGAAAAAAATAGCAACTTACTTTCATTTATTTTGTTATTTTATATAGTCACATCTATGGTATCTAGTGTAATATTAATTTAATAGTCACATCTATAGTATCCAGGTGCCAACCACAAGGGAATCTCAATATTAAGGTCTTGTAACATCAAAAAAAGAGATTAACGACTTTCATGAAACCTTGTAATAGTATTAAACTAAACAAAAAGTGCCAATCGGTTATCAATTGATATAGAAGATTAGATTTGGACGAACGGATAAACTCTTAAAATCAGTAACTTTTACCAAAAAAAACTGTATGGAGGGGCAGTTTGGTAGAAAAACTAAAAAATCATTAATTTTTTACCCAAAAAAACATTATATAGGGGCATTTTGGACAAAAACCGTTAAAATCATTATATTTAATAAAAAGTAAAATGCAATACAAAAAACAATCAACCACAACACTTGAAATTCAACTTATTTACTTTCTCTACCAAAGGTTCATGAAAGCTACCTTCTAGTTCATCCTCATTTTTCTGTAACCAAATTGATAATAATTTCATAATTAATTATGTTTTACAAAAATAATCAAACAACACTATGACGATATAGATTTACTGACCAAAATTAAACAAATCTAAGTGAAGTAAGGTTGTTTGATGTTTCTTCTTGTGATTGTAGATGCTAAAGAACCTGTTGGTCTGCCTGCCAGCAAGAAACTATGGCCTAGATGTAAGCGAATTGGTCCAAGGGGGCTGGAGTTCTAACCTACATCACTGTATATTTCATCCTTAACATGAAGATCCATTTTTGTAACCAAATCAAGCTCTTCAGCAAGTATAGCTAGACCATCTTGGGCCATTGTATAATGCAATTGTAATTTGTAACAATGTCAATTACATGGAATGGTATTCTTGGAATTTAACTTTACATAAACAGGAAAAAAAAGTGGAGGGTATAGCTGTCGAAAATTTTTGTAAGCTTCGCTAATGATGGCGAGAAGTTGGAAGCACCCATGAGGAAGTCAGACTCCATAAAATACCCTGATGGGTATCTTAATGGAGCAGCCTACAGAAAAGAAAAACATCAGGTAACTTCAAACATACAGGAAGCATCCAAAAAAAACATAAACTATACAAAACAGTAAAGTAAATCACAAATCAGAACCTAAATTTTTTGAATACTATGATTGAAAAAGATTCCACATGTGATGTGAAAGGTTACCAGCAGTCGGAATCTAGATTAGTTAACATGTAACCAAATCATATGTACTAAGCACCAACAAAAGATTAATATATTTCAAAACAAAATCCATTAAAAAAAAACTCTCAAGAGGGGCATAATTAACTATAAGAAAATTGGATGAAAAAAAAATCATTTTGTAACTACTTTTTTGTTTTATGTGTATTCCGGGTGACTCAATCTAACCACCAGCATTAGTATGTTTTTCCTTCACAAATTGAAATGGTAAAGATTATAACAATAAGACACTTCGCGTAGACCATAAAAGACATAAATACCCTTTGGTAGTAAGTCAAATACTAAGAATTATGTAGTTATAAATCGATACCAATTCACACAAGAAAGCCATCATAAATCAATACTTGAAACATAACTTAACAAAAAAGAAAAAAAAAAGAAACCAACATTTTGACATTATTAATATAAACTCATAAATAGTCCATTTGTTGAAATGCAGTTATTTAACAAAATAAAAATAACAAAAGGATTAAGCATCTAAAAACACAAAACATACCCTGCCAGGTCTTCCTTCAGGAACTTTGAAGGTAAGGATTGATGCTCATTTATAGCTCTTTTTCTGTGAATTCAAAAGACCACTAAGGTTGTTCTTGAATCCAAGAACACCAGTTGGCGTATTTGAGTCCTTTCATCAAACACTTGGCATGTAATCTTCCAAACTCCACCTCAACATACAATTTTTTAGTGGAAGGACCTAATTTTCGATTGAAATCTGAAGACCAAATACAATTTAATAAAATCATAAAGAAGTAGACATTATTAGTTACCTGATTATAGATCAACAAACCGAAACCTCATATGGTATCCATCATTTAGGAAGGTGTGGTGGAGGTAGCTTTAGGAGGAGCAATCTTTCTATTTCTGGACCTATTTATGTGTGACAACGACAATCCATATGAGTTTCTTACCAAAATAACTAAAAGAATGTAAGTTAAGATTTAATTGGCGTTGACGCCTTACGAAATCGAGCTGCAGTTGTGATTTTGGCGGGTAATGAATTATTAGGGCTTATGCTGCCAGAACCAACTGCAATTTGAGAGAAGAAAATAGCAATCTGTGTGGACATGACCTCGATGCTGAAAAATATAGCGTCGTTCGGAAAGTGAAATTGACGGTGGCGTACGTAGACCACTTTGTGCGTAGCTCTGAAAGAGAATACAGAAGAGCCTTCAATCAATTTAGGCTTCCAACTCATGTAAACGACGATTAAGTGAAGCATAGAAGGCCCAATTAAGTAGAAGCCACCACTACTATCGCTTGTTGATTATTCCGACGAAAATAAACCGATAAAAATAAACAAATAAGGAACTTGACATTACGGTGGTGATAAGAGCTTTTTGAAGAAGAATCGAGAAGCGATGGGCTTTAACTGAGAAGAAGAACGGAGACCTGATGGAATAAGAACTAAAAAAAAGTGTGTGTATCTGAGGAGATGAAAGAAGGAACATTTGATGGAGGAATTACAATGAATAGGGGATCTGCTAAAAGAAACCCCGTGGAAGATGGAGATGAAGAAGCGGTAGGAGATAAAAGGAAGACAGTGGAAGGATCGAGATATCTCTAACAAAAACCAATCCAAGGAAGGCCCTATCATAAAGGGAGACGATGCGCTTTTGCGCGTCGTCTATAGATGACACGCATTTACGACGCCCGTTTACGACACGCAATGTGTATCAAGGAAGGCCATGTCATAAAGGAAGACGATACACATTCGCGTGTCGTAACCTTACGACGCACGTGTCAATGACACGCAATGCGTATCAAGAAATCCCTTGTCAAGAAAGGCCATGTCATAAATGAAGATGACACACATTTTTGCGTATCGTAAATTTAAATGTTTAAAAAAATATTTATTTATTTTATTAATTTTTAAATTAAATTTTAATTTAATGTCTCATAATAGAAATAGAATACCATATTCAAAAAATACAATCCATTACATAAAATTTAATGTCATACAATTCTATTTCTTAGAATATAAAAATTTACATTCATCTAATCTACTATGTGTTTCATACTAACAATTGAAATGAAGAATGCAACAAAACTAACAAATAATCATCCAACTTTGTTTCTTTCTAGAATATGTGTGTAATTGTCTCCTTCATCAGCCTCCATGTCCAAATTCGGATCTACCTTCCTAATATGTATGTATAACAATGACACATGTGTTAAACTTGTTACCATTAACATATGATCATATGGACTCGAGTGTTAAACTTGTTTCCATTAACATCTGATTCATATGGTCCACAAAAAGCCATGAATTCTTCACCTCTAATTCAACATGATTGTTACCTGCATAAATGAAAACAAACATGAACATTAACAGCCCAATTATGAAGAATTTCATAGGATGCAAAAAATGATGATCATTAATAAGTCCTTTCAAGGATAATTTGGTCTGGATAGAAGATTAAACTAAATACAAATCATAAAGATTCTAAAAAACAGTCGACTGCATTGGAATTGATGTCTTATTAGAAGAATCAGATAGAAATGAAATTATAAGAGTTATAAATAACCATTGTCTATGAGGTATAGAGGGAATATTTATCTGTGTAGTCTATTTCTTGAAAGACCATAAGTATTTCAGCCAAAAATTCACAATAATTAAGTAGCAATCGACTACAGTTTGCAAACATAGTGAGGCCAAAAATTCACAAATAACTAGCAAGCAACTATAGTTTAACAAGTAGCAGCATGTGATAATAAGAAACAGTTCTCTATATCTTCTTCATTTTAACCAAAAAAACAATTTAAAGACCTTTAAAACACACATAAGTATGTACTGTAGATACAAAATAATAACTCAATTACCAAATAAAATTACTTTACCTGTGCACACTGATAAGCAATCAACAATTAGCTCTTGATATATCAATTGATTTCACTCATATTTACGGAATGGTAGGTACCTGAAAGAAGACAAAAGAGTTCAAAATAAAAATAAAAAACTACTTACTCAACTACAATTTAATCCTCTAAAAAATTTTAACTTATCTTTTGTAAATTTTTCTCATTTTTATTTAGGATTTCTTTTTCTTTAAATGTGCACTATTGGTAGGCACTTAAGGAGCTTAGAGCCAAAGTACAAAAGGGAACACTTGGAGTACTGGAGTGAAGAAACCTTTTGCAATTTGCGTGTAATAATCATTGTGAGCGGTAAAACGGTCCTAATGCCACTAGTAGTAAGTAATGTCACTAAACTAGGGTAGCAAACTAATTGTTGTTTTAGAGAACGTGGTGTATAGTGTTGTATACAGACCTGTATGCAAACCTGTATAGAAGGGTATTTTGGGCAATATTCAACCAATAACAATTTGGCTGCTAAAATCAATAATTTTTACAATAAAAATAGACGTAGTTTGGTCATAACCTGTTAAAATAAGCCAATTTTTTCAATTAACAAGAAGAAAAAGAAAGATCAAGGTTGATGAGGAATATGTCAAAGAAGAATGGTTGATGCTTTCTCTACTATCTCAAGATAGATAGAGCTAAGAGTCTATTAGAGAGAGACTAATAGTAGTACCTCGGAAAGAACAATGGTTGATGCTTTCTCTAATATCTCTTGAATAAACTTTTCAAGATCAGCAAAAGAGTTTGCCATTATCTCCTTCTTGGAAACCTTTGATGCTTTAGCTACATTACATCAATCAGTATCAGCCACATAAAAAGATTAAACGGTTAACAAAATCTAAAACTTTCTAGGATCAGCAACAACAAGCATCATTATATATTTTTCACTTTTTCATCCCAGTTTCAGGTAACTTAGGGTTAACAACATGAACATTGTAGATAATTAATCTTGGGAGATCTCGTATAGCACTAGATAAGCGTATCACCTACGACACAAATTTGTGATATTTCATCAAGAAATAGTCGTTGTATACATAAGGTTTGTTTCTTTTCTTCCAAAAAGGAAATAGGCCCAAAGGCAATCTATGCAAGAACATGAGAAACTATGTTTTTCCAGTAATAATTTTTTTTGAAGAAACATACCTTGTTACAATATATATCGACCAACCATCTATTCATGTTTTTTAGAAGAAATGCATATGCACGTCCATTTTTCTCTCTTTTGAAATGATGAGAATTGTTATCGAGTATTTTGAAAAGAAAAGATAGATTTGGATGAATTAAGATGAAGAACACAAAGAGTAAATATTAATCAGATCTCATATTGATTAAGACTGATTACAGAATAAGCAGAAGTGAGTTCTAGCATCCGTCCCTCTACTTCTAGCCTAAGTCCCTATTTATAGGGAACAAAAAAAATATACTAAGTCTATACATTTTCACTTCGCATAAAAGATGACTTAGTAAAATAACATAAAATGCGAAACTACACAAAACACTGTATTCGACTTTTTACAATATACATCAACATTCTCCCCCTTTGTAAACAGTCGATACAATTTAACTCATAAGCTTTTGAATTGCAGAGTGAATTGTCTTTTGCACTTCTCCATACCAGGAGATCACCTTCTTCAAATCTTTCTTGTCTCCTTCGTTATTCTTCTTGCAATTATTCATACGTACTATGAAGTGCGTATATTGCGAAGAATTATATCTTTCAATCTCTGAGACTTTGAACAAAAA